AGGTGAACACGTACAGAGGCCATCAGACCTAATTATAAAGAGGACTATGGGGATAAGACACATCACTAGTCTACATCAGTCAAGACAAAACCTTCCTTGAGAGCAAAGGGTACATATCTTGTCATAAGATTGAAAAGGGCTTTGTTGTTGATTTTGACACAAAATATAATCAAGAACATGTTTTAAAGGCATTAAAACACCTTTTCCCTTCTCGAAATATAATTTTTCTTATAGCAGGATCTTTAACTCAAGTTGGAGGTAGGAACAAGCATATTTCAACAAAGAAAAAGCGAGCCTTCAACAGCTCTGTGGAAGTCTGTTAAGATGCATGATAGTGAACACAACTGGCTTCCCCTACATAGAGTAGATCATGGTCCTCAGCAGTTTGCTGAGTACTCAGTGAGCCTCTTTATTGGACCTCTAGATGTGAGGGAACATGAAAAATTGCAATATGTGTTTAAGCCAAGTAAGAGTAACTTATTGTGAAAGGCAGCACAATATCATTTTCTGGTTCAAAAGGCATTCTCACTACCAAAATACGCTTTAGTATCGCTTATATGTATTTTCTAATTCAATCTTTTGTGCAGTATCTAGAAATACAGTACAGTGGTAATAATGTAATTAGTATTTTCACTAGCTAAATTACAGAGCTGACTGCAGAATACAGCTTAGTAACATCAATATTAACAGTTAAGTATTATACAAAAATGACATCAATAGTTTTAGTATAGTCATGAGAGACATTCTAATTTCCTCTTTCTCCAAGATCCCTTCAAATTGTGTCAGATGAGGAAACTCACAAAATCCACTGTTTTTTAGTTCAACTCAGATTCTAAAAATCAGCATCTCAAAGATTTCTTAGGTACATTTTTGTAGGTGTTTGAACAATATTCCTTTCTAAATATGGTATTAGTTACAAAGAACTTTAGTTCTGCTGCACTGACCTCTCATATGAATTTAATTTTCCCAGCACTTCTGCAAGTTAACAAAGGACTATAACAGATACTTCGCGTCTGAAGATGATGATACGTAGGGATCTGTAATAATTATCCAAGCCCACAAAAGCAATCCTATGTCAGCACAAGAAGTGAAACCACTGGCTTTGCAATCTAGTGCTACTCCGTACTTCCCTTCTCCCCATGTCACACAGGAAGATCTAAAACTCTAACCACCAAGATACTAGACACCAAACAGCTCTTAAGGAAGACGCTGAGGCAAGAATGCTTTCACAGATTCCTCACCTGAAGAGACAATAGTCAGCCATCCTTACATGCCCAGAAATCAGAAGACCACGATTTACACCAGAATCTAGGCTATCCCATGGTATCCTCCTAAAACTCCCTTTTGGCCAAGCTAATTCACAAGCCCCTAAACAAAATCAAGAACACTGAGGATCTACCCACACTCCATCCACTTTCCAATTACAGTAACTTTATGCTTTACTTCACAAAATGAGATTCATTTCTTCCTTCACCAGCTCCATTCAGCTCCTTCAACATTTTGTTCATGTGTTTGTTAAGATGCAGATCTCCAGCAGATTGATCACTTCAGATGAGACAAAGCAATCCCTTGGTAAATCCCTCTGGAAATGCAGAACATATTATATGCACAAAAGTCGAACTCCTTGAATTTCCCCTTTTCAGATCCTCTTGGTTTCCAGTCATTCAGATAAAGAATGGAGCTTTTGTAGGCCAGCTAATCCATCCACTGAATGAAATATGGTAAAGTTTTACACATCCGCATGCTCTTTCAAGCCGTGGTTTACATCCGTAGATGTAATAATAGCTGTAGTAATGTAGACAAAAATCATGGCTCAGGCACCCCCAGAAGATCTTTAAAGGCTTGGGCTGAAAAATCCCAATACTGTGGTCAAAGGAACTGGCAAAATGATTTAAGCGCTGTCTCTGCTTACATTTATTTCAGCCAAAGCACTGGCTTAATTTTCTTTGTGTGTCTTAATAAGCCACCTCTGTGAGAGTGTCCTGGGTTCAGCAGTAGCAGCCAATGCAAGTTGTATTTGTTACCAGCTGGGCTTAAACAACGACAGAGAGGGACTCTTACTCAAAATGCTTGTACATCAGAAGCTCAGAGGTAGGCACTATTGAGTGGTGGTAAGCTGAGACAAACATCCAAAGATGGTGTCAGGCTCAAGCTGCAAAATGAGCCTGTTCTTCATCTTCTCTAGCATCACAGTTACAAACCAGCATGAAAACAGCATTTACACAATGGATTAAAATGCAAATCTGCACTTTATTCTATGAAATTGAGACAAATGATACATACCTGAAACCTGACAGAGTAGCAATTACAAACATGAATGTAGCTTTAGATTATGACTTAAGCCAAAAGAGAGGATGGAATAGAAACGCTGTATGTTAGACCTTGTGAAACACTACAGGGGAAAAAAAAAAGCAGCTCTTTCCCTAGTAATGTATGCCTAAAATACAAGTTAGCAGTAATTCTCCTGTAAAGTGCTAGATCTGCCTTGTGCAGACGTGTACCTTCATGGAAGCCTCCAGCCATAAATGCGTACGTACAACGCAAGGAAGGAGCCTGCCAGTAAAGGAGAGCTGAGGGGGGTCTCAAAATATGTGGGAGGGGACTTTGGACTGCCCCAGCCTAATAGGATGTGACACCATCCAGAAGAATCCTGCAACAAGAGGCCAAACAGCCAATGGCCTAGGACAGAAGTGCCTAGCTGGCATAAAGATATATTTATGCTAGGTCTGATTTAGACTGTGCTCTGCACAATCAGATCGCTTTGAAGGTTTGCCTTGTGCAATCATTCCCTTTGTCAGGAATCAGAAAAAGACTGTGAAAAGACTGTGAACAAATTGTTTAGGCATTGAAATTTAACCCTGTGGAATCCTTACAGTGTAGCACAGTGTGACACAGCAGGAACACGTTTGTCAGGGGACTGAAGCCTCTTTGCTCTCTCTGCACAAAACATATACATTAGCATTGTGTGGTGTGGGTGTGCTCCCAAGCACATGATGCAGCTATGGGTATGCAGCTCCATGCCTACCCTGCCTCCCATCTGCACTGCAACTGCATTCAGCCCTATGCACCATTTCTGTTCCATTAGGGAAAATAAAGGCTTCAGATCCTTCAAGACTGTCTGGAAGCCCTTCCATTACATTTTCTTTCAGAGATTATCCAAGATTTGACTTTTAAATAACCATAATGCATGTAAGAAAATTACTGAGTATTACAACAAACTTTTTAATAGACTTACTGTTTTTTCCACTAGTGTCCTAACATTAATAATGTCAGAATATAAACGCAAAAATGAAAAGGCATTTGGTAGAAGTTAGTTCCAGGACTTTTTATTACTCTGATGTGGGCTAAGGAAACAACTCAGCTGGTGTGGTTTCTATACCCGCACTCACGACACCAACAGCTTCCATCTCAGTTAGGCACCATACAGCAAGGTACTGTACATACCCTGCTCCTCCTGAAGAGCAGTCTGAGAGCACCAAGTACCTCACAGTGAGAGCTCAACCCTCTGTAGAATTAAACCTTAACACGAGATAGCCCATCAGTGGTTTTGTGAACTGCTGAAAAATATGCTGACAAGAATAAAAGAAAATAGTGGTTTGGAATTTGGCACAGAAAAGCCACTCTAAATCATTTCCAACTGCAGTAAGTCTTTGCTCCTGTTTTACGAGTAATAGAAGAGACTATCCCTGTTTTATAAACTCATTCAGTTAATATGTTTAAAAAAGGAGACAAGTTTCTCTCCTGCAGTGGTTTTCAAATACTGCCTTTCCTTGTGGCTGCCAGTATTCCAACATCCCATTCCAGAAACACTGTTTATTGCTCTTCGGGAAAGAAAAGAAAAAAGAAAAAAAAAGTACAACAAACAAAAAACTTCATGTGAAGAAAAAAAAGTTAGGAAAATGAAAAATTGTAAATGACAATTACATATTAGGGAATACAAAGAAGTTGTATGCTGCTCCTTGCTGCTGCAGTACACTGGAGGAGGAAGCTGAATTTAAAAGTCTTTTCACTCTACATAAAAAGCAAAAACACAGTTCCAGGATGTTCTACAGACAGGCAAGAGCTCACACATTCAATAACCACCACATCCATGTGATCTGCAACTTCAAGACTGAATTTCAAGTGTTTCTCAACCCAATTTTGCAGCAATTTCAGCTCTTGAAGTACTGAGCAGCCTTAGTCCCACCACTCAGATCAGGGGGACTCAAGTACCCTCAGGTTTCCTCTGAATGTGCTCAGAACTTTTCTAACAGTGTTCCTGCAGCCAAGCAATTCTCCTATCATCTGAGCTGCACAAATTTGCTGCTAACCCAAATGAAGCTGAACCTCCCAAAGTCCTTCTCTTTGCCTGTCATATTCTAAGTTCACTCTGTCCCTTACAAGAACAATGATGCATACGCCAGTGTATTTGCTCCTTCCCTCCATAATGAATCCTGCCTTAACTGGGAGGACTTTTGCAGAACATATATTCTCCACCATGCCAGGACCCCCACACTATAATATGCAGAATTTAGCCCTTTTATCATCAGCAGCAGCTCTAATTATTTCTTCATTTAGCAGCTACTAACATGTTTGGAGATGCAAAATCACACCACTTTCCGAAAGGTAGCAGAACAGACTTCATAATTAGAGAAAGCACAGGGGCCACCTATTTTGCCCCTCATGAAGCTTGGGAAGCCCCAAATAATATGCAAAGGCAAAAGGGGAAAATGGTTACAGTACTGAGAAGGCTAAAATTTGAATGAGGTAATAACAAACCTTTCTTGTGGAAGGAAAAGGAAATGACTGATTCTAAAAAAGCTTCTGCGATAAATCATCATCCCTGCATGAAATTCCATTCATATATGCTGAGATATCTGGTAGCAATGTTAGAGGAAAACAAAAAGGAACAAAAACTTAGCAACAACCATGTTTATAAAGAACAAAATATAGCTTGCTGGAGTTGTTGAGCTCTTTCAGTAGTTCAAACAGGAGCAGGATATTACAGAATCAAACAAGAGTGAGCAGTTTCAACAGCTGTATTTGTATTAGTCATAAAGGCATAGATGTGAAATACAGCTCTAATAAAAAAATTGAAGTTTATAAAACTGGATGGTAGTTTTCCAACCTTTCCAGAAGTATCTCAGAATATCCAGGGGAGCAATACCTGAAAGAGAAACATTTTGTTTGTGCATTATACTATAAGGCGTGTTCTATGCTAAGTAACAAAACACTATTCATGTTTCTATTGATCAGGAAAAAATCCTAAACATTAAACACTAGTCAAGGAATTCTACAGTTATTCCCCTCCAATGTTTTAAGAGCCTGCTTTTCAACTTATGTTATCATTTATACTTGGAAGTCAGGTTTTCAAAAATATGTTTAACCTCTTTTAGGGCACATAGGCGGTTGGTCCTGGTAGCTTTTGGATAGGTTCAGCAGCCATAAGCATTGTCTTTACTGAGAAATGTAGATGTTAACTTCTTTTGAAATTATGGCCTTTAATAAAAAAGCATGAGTTTACACAGAACCATAGGCTGCCAGACAACAATAGTCTACTGCTGTTCATCAAGCATAAGCACACACCCAAAAGCTAATGTGAAGTCTCCATCAGTGCAAGAGACATTGATTCTGGAACAAAAAAAATTTATCACAATGACCTTCTCTCCCTAATGCCAACTCAAGGACGGAGATTATCATATAGGTTTTCATTAGAGTAGGGACTTTATGGTGCCATTATTGTCCTGCTGTCATTCAGTTAGTTTTCCACAATGGACCAACCACGTGCTTCCAATATGCAAGCATCACCAAAGCTGCATTTAGTTCTTGTTTTCCAAGTTAAGAGTATCTAAAATTTATTGCTGTGTTATTCTAAAAAACATACATCTCAGTACATTTCTGGTTTTGTAGGCATGTAAATTGTTAGCTCTGAGCCCCCCATGTAATCCATGCCTAAATTGTATTAAAATAGAAATCCCCAATATTTCCACACTGAAGGAAGATCCACTTACCTTGCTGGTTTTCATTTTTTGGATTATTTCTGCACAGTGTAACTCTTTTTAAAAATCATATTAATTGGCCGACTGTAAAGCTAACTTTTCAATGCGTTATTATATTCAGTCTGCAAACAGCCTAAAATAACAGGTCTCCAGGACAAACCCAGAGCTGGAGTCTATTATAGCAGCTGTGCCTCAGGCAGCACAACCAACATCAGGCAGTAGCACAAAAAGGCAAGCAGGAGATGCTCGAAGGGGCCCTTTATTACATCCCAGCGTACATAAGTAACCTTGTTTCATTTACGGGGGGGGGGGGCGGCAGGGAGGAAATAGCTGTAACAAAGAAACATTAATTATATCCAGAAAAGCATAAGCAAATGCCCCTTTTCTCCCCTCTTAAGTATTAGCTGCAGAACAAAGTTTCCGTATGATTTTTAGTCATTTACAACCACTGGCTTTTCCTTGTGGAGACAAACATGGCTTCATTTTGCATGACTTAGTTTGTAGCTACTATTAGCTGAAGAACTCTGTTGGGGTAATTAAAATTGATGATGCAGATTTTCAGAGCCTGTAGAGGCAGTGCACAAGTACAACATCCTTTTGATGTGTTGATGGAGTGAAGGACTGGTAAATGGATATCTAGAATCTAGGAGGGCATTTCTCTCATTATTACAATTTAGGATGGTGACATTTTGACTGTAAGCTATTTAATAGTGTTTCTGTATTCATTAAGGGCAAAGTTCAACTTGGTGCAGACAGCTGGTGTATGGTCCTTTTATATAACACTTAAGCCTCATGATGAGGCTGGGGGAGGAAGGGCAGCTGTGGGCAGAGCAACTGTGCAGGAGAGCCTCTGGACCCTCTGTACATCAGAGGAAGTTTCAAAGGAGCCTCTGAATATACTAGTTCAGACAGGCTCTTAGGGAAGTCAAGGATGCAACCAAAGGTTCGCCAATACTGGTATTTTAGAGCCTGAGTAATCCATAAATAAGTTACCAAGATAAACTGAACATCCCATAGACATTTGTCAATATGAGAGCAGTTGTGCTGAAGCCTCAGAGTCTGTCTGTGTAGGGCAGGACTGATTTTTCTTCTCAGTTTCCTGCAAGAGCCTAATTATTTGGGCTTTCTGTTGTTATGGTTGGTTTAGGGGTCGGTGGGGTTTTGTTTTTTACAGACAAAGAAATTTGATTCCAAATATAATCAGGAAACAGACAGTGTTCAAAAGTATGTGTCTGGCACACTAGGGCAGTTAACCTTAATGTTAACCTGTTTTTTATAGAAACAAAATTAATACAGAAGTTTAATTTATCTATTAAATCCTTGCTTTGTGTTGTTCCTGTGAAAAACACCCAGCAGTGTTATAAGTACATATTTTTAAAATTTCATTTTCCCTACCTTACTATTTCCTCTGGATAGCAATTGTTAATAGTGTTGATATATTCCTGAAGAAGTGACCCAGGTTCTGCTTTTATTTCTTGAACCTTTTTAAGTCCACCACTTGTTACAAAGAGACGACGTGCTTTACTGTCATGTGGTAACACCTACACACAGAAAAGTACATTAAAAAAAAGAGAGTATTTTCTTCTAAAGGAATCTCTATGCTACTAGGGTCAAATATTGCTTCTCTGTTTTTAATTCAGAGGACACATAAAATGGAACATCAGAGGTACAACATGTGTAATGACTACTGTATTTTAATACCCAGTTGCACAGGGAAAAAAATCATAAACCACCCCTTTATAGTTATAACACAATATAACATGTACTGTAATACATAACATATATAAAAATAATGAATTGAATATTTATCTTCATGTAAATTATATTTCTTGAAGTATTCCTACAGAGACCGTAAGATTGTGGAGATTAAGTAGATAATAAAACCAGAACACTAACATGGAATAACAACAGCATCTGTTCCACTTAAACCAAGTTATTCAGGTCTTTTATGTCAATTCCCACAGTTTAATTGTATAGCAGAATTTTATACCATTATAATGATCTAGTATAGATTAGTGCATGAAAACAATACTGAGAATCGTTGCAAGTGAACAATGCAGCCTTGAAGCATTACATGCTACTATTAAATTCCTAGATATTAAAATCCTACAACACACTGTGTAGCCATGGAAGCCTTTTACAAATATACACACACACAAAGCAGAAATGTGAAGTTTCTGCAGCCAAAGGGGATGAGAAGCAGAAAGGATCAGACAATACATTCTGTGCTCCGAGTGATGCCAATATGCAGCGCTGTCCAGAAGACGGGAGAGGAGGGAGGGAAGGAGGTGGGGGCTGGGCCAGGCAAGGGAGAATGACAGCATGTAGTCCACAGGCCCACAGGGCTGCAAAAATACTTTAAAAAAAGGGGAAAAAAACCAACCCAGAGAGATAATGCAAGACGTCAGCTGCATCTACAACAAAACCAGATGGGTTTAAAACCAACTCCGAGAGTTACATACTATGGGGACAAAAGCATTTTGTAAGCCTTCACACTGGTCAGACAAATCAAGCCATAAATTTGATGGTATCTCAGTGTATAAAACAAGAGACTTGAAGGAGGAAAAAGATCATAAAAAGATGAAGGAAAAGAAAGATGAGATTTCTGCCATACATATAGGCAAACAGCCTTGATTTCTCTGATCCCTGTAAGCAGACAGATAAGCAAAGAAATCAACAGGTAAAGAAATTAACAGACAGGTAAAGAAAAATCAAGGGAACACAGAGACTTCTTATTATATGCTCTGTATAAGTGTCAGGAACAACTGTGATCATTTCCTGGTAGGAACTGAAGACAGCTGTTTCCACCTATCTCCCACAACAAAAACTGCCAAGGAGGAACTAGCAAGACAACAGGATATGGCCCTTTCCCTGCCTTCCTCCTCCACACTGTGACTCCCAGGCTGGGTAAGACAGCAGAAAACTCTTTTGGGAGAGGCCCTAAAGCAGACAGCACCTCTGAGACAGTCCCTCCCCTCTGTCCAAGCTGAGACAGCACAGAATTGCACAGACCCTGAAAATGATAATGCTTAAATGACACAGTCCAGCACAAGAACGGAGAGCATCCCACTCCGAAGCACAGCTCAGAAACAAGGCTTTTACTGTGATATAATATAAATAAGCCCAAATAAGTAACACACCACAACTCTAAGAATAGGAAATTCCCAAACTATGGTAGATGAGAGAAAAATGCTTTTACTGCAGAGAAATTAATTTTAAATGTATACTTCAGAAAAATAAATGCCAGACAAGTATAGTTTGTTTAATGCAGCATAGGAGAAGAAACAAAACAAAACAAAACAAAGCATCAGATAATATGAAGGCTATAAAACTACTTCAACAGCAAACAACATTCAAATCTTTACACTGGGTAACCAATTACTATGCACTCAGATCATTAATAGCTCCAGTCAGCACCAAGAAGCAAAAGGCACTGAATTCTGTGCAAATCTCCAATCTTTGTACAGACTTCGCAAGATGACAGGACAAACTTAGGTGTGGCGATGTAATCAGGAATCTGCACTCCAAACAGTAATGCTTCCAGATCTGTGACAATCAGAACTAAGTACCAAGGGTGTTTTACTTTGCCATTTCCAGAAAGAACATTTCACCAAGAGAGCCTGGTATCTCCTACTAACAAATTACACGGCAGAGTGTTGTACAAGAGACAGACTATAGATGAGCAGGATTCTCAACAGCTGGTGAACACTGCAGACACAGGGAATCTCCTAACTAGTCAGCAGTTACTTAAATAATTTGAAATATATTTATCAAATTGTATTACTTTTTACATGCTGTACTCAAATATTGCTTGAGCAATATGTTATTAATACCAAACAGTTTCAAATTTTGAGAGGAATAAGAAAGATTTGGGATTTTTACACTTAATTGAAACTGAAAATTAACAAGGATAAAAGTGGTGAAGCCTTTATACTCTAGATTAGTGTAAAATACCTAACTTAAGTCATTCCTGTACAGACAGCTTGTACTTTATCGAAAACAGATGTGACTGGGATTTATGTGATACATTGGCTCAGTGAAAATATTTGCACGTGAGTTAATATTCCACTTAATCTCAAGAGGCAAGGAAGAAAAAAAAAACAAACACATTGCTTGTAAGCAACCGTTTTCCCAGTCTTAGGATGCATTATGGCAGGTTCCAGATGAAACAGTATCCAGCTTTGTCAGACAAAAGAATGGGATGCTCCAAACTGCTGCTGCAGGGTATGCTTGAGGATCCTGAGAAAACAACTGAGACCTTTAGAGAGACTTCATCTTTGGAAAAATAGCTTCCTTGCTAAATAGAAAACAATTAACATACTACTCATCAAGCAGAGCCTTTTCTTACCTTACTAAACTGTCCAACAATATGTTTTATAATATTGGGAGGAGCATCATGCAGCAATTGTTCAAGTGCTGGAAGATACGTGCATTTCTGAAGGATGTTCTTTAAGGCTCTTTTAGCCTATTGAAATGCAAAATAAATATCCTCTATTAAGACATGAATGAAAACAACAATAATTCCTGTTATATATTACTGAAGTCTGATAAAAAAAAAAGGCAAATTGATCAGGATTCTCAAAGAGCATTTTCTGAAGAGACACTATGATACCTACCAGGTCACTTATTGAAGAATCAATTTTTTACTTAGATTTATTAAACCTCAAAACCTACAGTACATCATATTCTTATTATGTTATCTACGGTCAAAGTAATGGCAATTTTTCTTTGACTACAATGGAAGCAGGAGCAGACCCTTTAGGTAATTGAAGTGTGGTAATATAATAAGGAAGCTAAATCAAAACACATTTTAAAAGATTGTATTTTTGAAGAGGCTTATGAGGAGAGTCTGCTGGTCTGGGATAACAATGTGGACTGCTGTCCAGGCGGGGAGAAACAGAGAGTGAAACAGTTGTACATTAGTGCTTAGTTTCTGAAAACAGACTCAATGTTGACTGCTACAAGCATAATGACCTTTTTGAGGAGGCTTAGATCGTACAGCTCATTTGGCCTTGATATTCTGGTGACCACTGAAAATGACTATACAAAAGTTATGTAACAGATCTAGGAAGTTATACTTCAATGGAATGTACAGAATAGTACAACATGGGAGACCATATCCTGTCATATTACATTCTTTAATCCTGTCATATACTCTTCAGTTAGTTCACTTTCTGTTGCTCAAAAACACACTACCGAACTGCAACTCTACTAGCTCTCACAGAAGGAAGGCCCTAAGCATCAACACCTGCATACTTTCAAGAGCAAAACTTTGAGTATTTGCTACCGTTTCATTATAATAATCAAAACATAAGCAAGTCTACTACACGGACTATAATATTTTGTACAAGAGCTTATACTTCTAAAGATACTTAGAAACTACTCACAAGAAATTATATCGTTTATGGGCGGATGCAGCTCTGATCTCTACTGGGAAGAAAATGAGGGACTAGACTGCTGTGGCTGTACCACATGATTTGGTATGCACTATATGCATGGAGCCATTAGGACCAACCAGTCCTAATAAATAACGTACAGCCTTTGGACACCTACATCCAGCAAATTCATGACTTGATGAACATCAATAAAAGCACATACAATTTTGTAGTTTTTAAGCACATCCACCTGTTGATTACAGTAAATATCTCAGTGCAGATGCTACAAATATACTTGCTTTTATTTGAAGATCTTCTGAACTGTGTGCGTCTGTATATATAGAAAGCAGTATGGGTAGCACATTTGCTACTGCAACAGCACATGCATGCTCAGGAGTATGTCTTCCAATCTGTCCCAAGGCCCAGGCAGCTGCTGCCTTAATATGATCTTCTTGTTCTTCTATCAAGCAGACACACAGTGGTGGTATTCCCTGCAGCATCAATCAAAAGCACAACCTTTACAAAGCTACACCAGGGAGGGAGAACTTGAAACTAATACAGACTGTTATAAAATGTTTTTCTACTTACATCCTTCTTCTAAAATAACCTATTAGAGAATGCATGCTAGTGGTGTCATATATTTTATAACATCATGTCTAGCAAGAATTTTTAATAAATCTTAATAAATCTAGATAAAGAAAGAGAGAAACAGATTCAATGTTCTAAGTCAGAAGGCAGTTTGAGCTAACACACAAATTTAGGGGATAAAAGGAACATATGACACAATTCAGTCTGTACTAAAAGACTTCAGTGTTGTCAGACTGAAATTAAAAGAATTTGAGTGTTTATGAATCTGTGAAAGCAACTTAAGATCAGAAGGGCTCAGTCATCGAGTCTTTTTTAATTTTTAATCCACAGCACTATATTTTCAGTTTATCAAACTCTTCTTGAGTCCAGTAGTTCATGTTTGACTCATCCAATCACTTCCGAGAAGGTTTCAATTATTGCTTTGAAGACAATAAGAGATGGAGAATCTCTCACTCACATCCAGCTGTTACTGAAGTCCTTCTGGTTTAGGGTCACAATCTTTATCCTTTCTCCAAAGGATTTTGGAGCTACTGGTATTTTATGCCAGAATACTTCAGTAGGGATCGTTTGATGATACTTTAGGTAAGGCAAGGCTACTAAACCTCTAACTAGAAAATCTTTTTCTCCACCCCACAGCTAATTTTTTAGTCTTTTCTGCACACTCTTCAGGGGTTTTTTCCAAGAACCTTTTAAAATACAGTCACCAGAACTATATGTACTGGTATTACAGACAGATTAACTTCTCTTTCCATTAATACTCCCTCTTCTGTTCTTTAATGCCACACAGGACTAACTGTCATCCTTTCAGGTTTTTGCCACTGCACTGCAGCAGAAGACCACAATGAAGTGTTTGTCCAGTATGACCCCAAAATTAATTTTTCAAAATTCATCCTTGGCAGAATACAGTACCACAGAATGGAGCTACCACTTTACGTCATAACATTGTAGATATGCAAATGCATGTGTGCTTGCCACAGTGCATTTCTTTCAAATGGTTCCTGTTTACCATGTCCTGCCCTCAGCACCATGTACCACTCTACAAGCTTAGTTTCCCCAAAGCAATTTTTATGTTTTTTTACCGGGCTTTGGTTTTATTTCAGTTTCTTTTGTGTCTCGTTCATTAAAATATTTAATTTCATAACAGTGTGCACAGATCTCTACAAAACCTCTTATTGTACTCATATTCAGTTATGGCAGCAAACATTAGTACTCTTCAAAAATGTATCACTTAGGTTCTTCCTCATTAACTTAATCCTGGATTCATCCCACTTAACATTAAGCACTCAACAGCACGAGTATATTTGCTCTAGGCACCCCTGAAAGTGAACAGACAGAAACATTCGGAGAAGAAAAGCCTCCAGAGAGGACAAGGAAAAAAAGTCTATTTCTTCAGTTTTCAAATGCAGAAGAGCATTGTTTGATCATTCTTACCTTCCCTGCATCCTTATTGATGTTATGTTGTGGCAATTTCCATTTTTAACTTGCATTCTTATTAGAAGACATTTCTGTTTCTCCACTTTTATTGTTTCCACTCACACAGTATATTTTAAAATGACTGACATGGTGTAAAAATGGGCCAACAATCCTCACTGAAATTACCTCTTCCTGTCATTAGTTAGCATTATTCACATACAAGTATTATATCAGGCACTAATTTCACCAATTGAGAATATTGGAAATTCCCTCCCTTCTGTATCACTGCCCATTTATTAAAACCTGAAAATGTATAGCTTATCTCATTTGAAATGTCACTTGGCACAACCGAATCAAACCATACTGCATTAGAAACTGAGGTCTTTTCAAGTCTTAAGATTTCTATTGCAAGACTATTCTCGTGGTACTAGCAGAGTCATGCTAGTGCAATGAGGAACGTGTCATTAAACATTCTTGTTTCAAAAAGGGTTTTGATGTAGCCACAAACATTCATTTTAAGAGGAAACAGACCATAGAGATTCACTGGCTTATTTTCTGTACCCATGCAATTGCAACACAGAAAATCATGTACTGTAATACAAACAGGTGCTCATAAACTAATACAAGACATTTTATAAAAGGTTCAACTTCATAAAGACACACTTTGATCAGGTTACTATACAATTTCAGACACTGCAAGCAGCAATATTAGGAGAAAGTGCATTCATGAACAGCAAGTATATAATTCTGTCACAAAATACATTCTCTGCCTATGTTAATTTGTATCTCTTTCTCAGAATACCACTGAAGAATTATAGGAAGACAACAAAGTGATAGCTAACCTTGGAGACAATCACTGCCATTGACAGGTTCTCCGAATGAGCTGCTACATAACCAAGCATCATGATGCCAGGCAGCCTGACAGTCCCTCTGCTGCTGCCAATACAATCAATCACAGCGGCAACTCCACCTGCATTTACTATAAGCTGTGAAAGCTGAAAAGATAAATGGAAGAGATTAGATACTGTGAAGTATCAACAGGCATAACAAACTACATTACAAAAGTCTTTAAATGTATTGCTCCTGATTTACAAAACAAAGCTGGAGTAAGAGTGATGTATCATACAGACTGTTGGGCACTAAGTGCAGCATGAAATTCTCAGGAATGAGGTTGTTCTGCAACTCTATTTTTGATTGACTTTACTGCAAGGTAATCAAGACTCTGAATTCTTGATGCCTTATAGTATGGAATGACATATTCTCAACTCCATTAGTACACACCAAAGAAACATGCAAATGACAGCCTAATAAAAGATTCCCTTGAAAACGCTCCTACTGAGCCAGATACTCCTTCATACCAGTATCTACTTATTCCCAAGCCAACATCATACTGTGCAGGACAGGGAGAAAGGCTCACTTCTTTCACCTTCATTGTAGATAACCTCTGTGTCATAAAAGCCTTTCTGGATTCCCCCACTGAGGCATGAAGCCAAAGACAACTGTTATGCACACACAAAAACAACTTGGACTACATCATTCTGCCACATTATGGTACTCTGAGGCAAGTGTCCAGGGAACACACTCGATGGGCATTGGAGTTTGCCCCAGAATGTTAATTAAACAGCTTAGCTCGTAAATGATAATCAAGTTATGCAACATGTTTCTTTCCAAAAGTTATCAGCTTTTACAGCAGTAGAGTATGTAGGATATCAACAATGCACAGGAATTTAAAAATTCATATTATGATTATTTTCATCTGTCTTGTTAGGTATATCCCAAAGATTCCAAAGCAAAACATTCTTTGAAGTCAAAATTAAATTAACAAAACTGAGGCATGTGGATTCCCAGTCCAGTTTATTTCTACAGACATGAAATCCACCTTTGCCTCAGACCCTTTAAAAGGGTCTGTTTTATTCACGAGACAGCTAGACAAAATTTAAAGTTACAACTTAAGAAAAACTGTTCACATGATTGTGAACTGCAACCAGTGACGACCAAGTCCTACATCTGGGCACAGCCGTGCGTGCAGAGATGCATAGAGCTCCTGCACAGACGTACTTGCTGGTGTTGTGACCCTCAGGCCCCGCTGCAGGCCCCCCAGATCCTGACACTTCACATGAATTTTAGTGCATATAAAGACAGCTGAGATCCAAAAGCCACAACACTCACGACTGACACGGCCAGCTCCTCTAGAAATACCATTTGCCAATTTGTGTCTGCTGTTGCTTGAATATCATTGCTCAGAGATGGACAGACATCACGGTCACTCTGAAGTCAAATGTGGACTGTGACTTCCCATCGGCAGTAACCAAGATACTTCCTACAGCTCTTTTGAATTGCGGCTAGAATGGCCAACTCCCTTGCACAGAGAATCCTGTGCTAGCAGCTTTTCTGACTTTATCTGCAGTCTTGTAAATTTGGCCTTCAGCTTCCAACTCTAGTGCCCTCCTTTAATAATGACAGTGTCTTCACTTTTTTGAGAAAGTGAAGTTGCATTGCACATATGTACAGAGAGAGAGCAGGAAATGTGACAAGACTGCAACCTTTAATCACCAGCAGCTTAAAAACTAGCAGGCTGAAGAAACACCGCAAAATTCATGCTTAATCACTTCCCAACTGTTAAGCTAGTCTCATGATTTTGAAATGACAGCGCTCAGCATTAGTGTGTCCCACAAATACATTGCAAGTATTTTATCCCAGAGTCATATTTACAGCCTTCTAATTATCGCTGTGGTCTGACAGATTAACATAGTTATAACTATTTGGTTTTCCTCTTTATTTTGTATTGACTTTGCCAAAAATCCCCACCTTCCTTTATCAGTTACTGGCAAAAACACTGCAAATACTGAGATCCAAATTACAAGCTCAAGCTAATAAAAGAAACTACCATCAGTTTAATAATAAATAACAGATAATAATACGACCTTGATTGTCATTGGAAAAATAATTAAAATGGGATCCCAGCATCCCAGAAGATTTTTTAAAAAGACATACAGCATCTATTACTGTTCTGGGATGATCTTGTTATTTATTAGCTGATATCATGACTTTTGTAAAGCTTTTCTCGTGATATTTTTAATATGCAAGACTGACAACACTGTCAGGCTAGAACTCCCTCTCTGTGAAGATACCTTATGGAATGAAGTAGCTAGATATACATTATATGATTCCTGGTTTCCTAACCCAATTCATATTCAATACACATCTCATAATATCAGCAAGCATTTCCACATTGTTCCAGTGAACATGCCAAACAGCCATTTGCCCTCCCTTTCTAAAAGCAAATGACAGAATAATCCTGTATTTTATTTAAAGTGTAAAATCTAATGATATGACCTTGTATTTGCATTTTCAAGGTTTTACCTCAGGCGTGTGCTTTACTATCTCTCTAATTAAAGTTGCACCATTTTTCTTGACACATTCATCTGAGTCCTTCAGGCATGTGAGCACAACTGGGAAAATTTCTGCTTCAACCACCAACTCTGCAAGTTCCACTGAATGCTTTGCTATCTGGCTTAGAGCTGACAGCACCTGACGCTAGTAAATAAAAATGGTTATAAAATCAATAGTATACAAACATCCCACAACACACACTCCTCCCGCACACAAAAATCTATTGCATCAAGGGAAACAAAGCGGGATAGGGAAAACAATTACAGCTATTTTACAATTCACTGAGTCAATTCATGCACAAATATAATGGCACAGAACATTCACTGGTTCCTGAATAAAAGTTTCTCCTTTGTTTTACCCCATTCAAGTTTGCTATGTATTTAAAAAAAAAAAAAAAGAAAAAGAATAAATATATATATACACCATTTATGTAGATTTAAAATTTACTGAAATCTAAGAAGATATCTTTATTTGAATAAGTCTGATCTGTCAAATCTTAAAGAATTTTTGTCTATTTGTTTGAAGTGGCATTTTTATGTTGTCTTCTTTCTGTTAGAGTAAGACAAGAGCATTTTATTAAGAAACAATTTTTTGTCAAACTCTACTGATTAAACCTTCAGCAGCAGCTATTCACATCAGAGAGTACATTCTAAAATACAATAATACATTTAATATTAACTGGTTTATAATATAACCCTAAGTATGCAAAACCTTTTTGTAACAGAATTGCATGCATTTTATCTATTAAAAATATCTGTTGTATTCTTCATATACTACATAATTCTAGAACAAAATATCATCCTGTTTACTTTAAAGATTAGTTTAGCTGTTCCTCACAAAGCAGCAGTTTTTTTAATCCAGTAGCTAAATCTGTGATGATATTCAGAACCCTTTGTCACTACTTACATAGTTACACTTTGTTAATGCCCAAAACAAGAGCTTCCTAAATACAAATGCACGTCAGTGGTTTTGATTCAGTATCAAGTAATGACTGGTATAATGGAGACTTTAAAATATAATTTTTAAAAATGTACCTTAAGTTTAGCATCAGGGTTCAGGATCAGCTGAGCTAAGTGAGCGATAGCTCCTGCATCCACTACTGTCTGTGCTAACTCTGGAGAATGCTTTGAAATATCACTGAGAGTTGAAGCAGCAATCCTTTTCAAAGCAATTTCTGGCTCCTGGATACAGAGCACTAAAAGAGGAATAGCGCCTGCATCCACCACAGCTTGCGACAGTTCTGTAGGTCCAAGGAAAGTAATTAAGTGAGTATGGGTGACTGACCCTTGTGCAAGCCATTTTTCACCCTGACAGATACAGCAAAGGAAAAAGGGGAGGGTGTAGTTCACTGTCTCGACATCTGCATTTCAAATCAGCCCTCCTGGTTTCATAAACCGTGTGGACCAATCCACAACTGAAAAGAATGCAGGTCAATAGATGGACCCCCATTTACATGCACACATTTGAGGTAGATTAGGCTGAAATGGTTTGTTATTCTGTTTTCTTTTTCTTTTTTTAAAGTAAGCAGATGTCAGCTGTTTAAACCCTGGCTATTCTACACTGATCAATAGGAAAGCATTTTATGCATGGCTAACAACAACACAGAAAGCCAAAGTACCAAAATTTTACCAACCACCTAATTAGAGAGCATTTTAGCCTCTTTAAATGATAAGCAGATATTAGCATAGATCAAATGCCAAAAACAGAAATGCAAAAAACATACATAAAATATTTATCTTACATAAAAATTGAGAAAATGGAGCTTGCAGATCAAAACTAGGCTTTGCTACCATCCATGGGACAAGACAGAATTTATACTTTAATGACATGAAAGTGTTTTCACACACAACTAGACAAATAAGAAATATCATCAGTGGGATACTGTGTGTCTGAGACTAGTATAATATCCTGAACTAACTGCACCTTAAAGAAAAAGAGAAAAAAAATCTGAGCACATGATTAGCTGACATGGACAAAAATTACACTATTAGAAATTCATTAGCTCTCCCTGTGCATGCAGCATTAATCACAGTCCTAAAATAAGAATTACTGGATATCAGAAGCAAAATTTATACTATAACCGAGTTGCGCTATTTTAAAATAGTGTTGAAAAAGTGATAAAAATCATGGGGGATTCAATAATCTATTAGGTTCTTAGTTCAGTTGTGCTACACCTGATTATGCATATCCATCATTATCTTTAACATTTATCTTGACTTACAGTACCATGGCAACATATGGCTGTTGTATTTCAAGACTCTAACTTAGCTTTTGATTTACAGTCCATCCATAAAGAGATTTTCATACTAAGAAAAATATAGTGTACTTCATTAAATACACATAGACTAATACAGTTTTTCATGAAATCTATAAGTCATATCATCATTACATTGTTAATATCCAAATAATGTTCCTGAACAGATTTGTTTTCAATTAGTTATAGTCACACACTCCAACACATGCGATAAGCCAAATATTTACACTATATGTTATTTTGTAATCTTTTAAAGGTAATGTAATTATTACCTCACAAAATAATAACAAATAATGCAATCATTTTTAAACTAATACAAAATTAACCCTTCGGGCTCACTTTTCAAATAACTGTTTGACTAAAAATTTGAGTGCGCATCATCCAAATACGCACAAATCCTAAAATTCCAACAAAACCCAAATACTGTATCTTCATTACAAATCTGAAATTAAATGTACCTGAAACATATCTGAAAACAAACCTGAAAACTAGCTCATCAATAAGAGGTATAGGCTACATTTACCTTTTCATGGAAGAAGACACACTTGATGTCTTCAAATTGTAGTTTGATGCTGTACACTGACCAAGTGGAATACGTCAGATACTACCGACCAACAGTCCAGATCAATCCATGGGACTATGCCTCAGAAGCAACTTCCGAGCAACCAACTCAATTGCCTACAGTCTGCCAGGAAATGCTAATACCAGGAAAAATCATGTCAAGAGGGACAGGATGCTACTGCAAGAATGGATTTCTTTGCTGCCTTCTGAGATTAAATCACAAAGTTCAAGATAAAGAGCAGTACTTTAAGGTCACATCTTCACCTAGGCATGCAAAAGTAACCATAAAAGTTATTTTAAAAGAGCAAACTAAATCTGACTCAATTCAGATCAGCTCTTGCTAATGTAAGTCTGGTATCGTTTAAATACTGATGGTTACTGTTGGTCACGGTTAATTAAATGGTTCTTCTTCCAGTGGTGTTTATAAGGTTCATGGCTAATAATTTACCACATGGAGGGCTGGACCACGTGCAAAAGAAAGATAAGCAGTAAACAGACTATCAGAAAAACAGGAAAGGTAAGGTAAGGACAAAGAAAATACAGATCTTCCCATCACATTCCCCTGCACACTCAACCCAAAACTACAATTCCAAATATTAATGATTCTATGACAACTGTAATGATTTTTTTTCCCCTCAAAATGAGACTCAATTAACGTTCCCACTTGGTAGAACAACTTTATTTCAGACTGTTGACCAAAAGATTCATGTAACTTTGCTATCCAGTTACAAAACAGAGGCAGGGAGGGAGAGGGGTGAGGGGAATTAAAGGAGAAAAGGAGAGTTAAAAAAGAGTGGAAGGAGAGTTAAGGGAGAAAGTTGTCAAGAACAAATTTTTAAAACCAAATATTCAGTCAAAGAAATTAAAAAAGCTGGAACAAGTTACAAAAAAACTTTTATGAACACTATGACAAGACTGCATTGTAAGGGTTAAGACAAGACCAATAGCTACAGAGGAGAAAGACAGCAAATAAAAGCTTATTTATGGACATAATTCCACAGAAAGTTATGAAAACCCTGGGCTCAAAACTTCAGTTTGGGGTACAGCTCAATGAATCTGTCTAACTACATAATGGTAAAGTAAAGACTTCTCCCTATGTGTGTGAAAGTAGGAAATGTTATTCCACATATGCTTAGAGACAAGAGAAATAACACTCAAAATCCACCACAAACTAGTTCCTTTGGTCCAGAACAATATGAGGAAGATTTTCAAATAACGATTTGACTAAATAGTTTATAATAATATATAGTAGTAGTTTATAATAATAGGAGATAATGAAGACATGAAGGCACATAGGCATAGAGGTAGAAGAAAGATTGATAAAGAAAGACTTCAAAGTTTAAGACGTGAAAAGTGAATGAAGACGAGTCAACAAGATCCTAACTACATATCCACTGAAATCAGCAGGAAGTAGGAGTGTTGATCTAAACTGATTGGCAGTCATAGTATGGATTGATTAAATAAATAAATAAATGAAAAGATGAAGGTGAGAAAGCGAATGTGCAAGCAGGTAGTCCCCAGAGAAGGAAAATCAGCTCTGAACAAATGCCATACTCACATAGTGCAGCAGCAGCAGCAAACCTTTTCCTGGAAGTAAATTCAAGTTTCAGTCCAGACCAAGGTTCTCAGACAGACCCTACTGTGGTGGCAGGTGTATCCACAGGAAATAACAGGGTTGACCAATAAAGCCCTCCAACGCTATTTTCCCAAGGACTGTGTGATCATGCAGTGGCCACATAGGAAGAATGTGACCCCACAGGTATTCCAAAGGCTGCACTTCAAAATTACAGGTTTCTGCAGACCACTACAACCACAGTGCTAGAGATTCCACTGGAACCAGAGGGAAAGCCTTTCATCAGGAGAATGAAGGTCATTAATTACAAGGTGAGCTTCAAATCTGGACTAGACAAAGTTACTGCTAGGCTCACATCACTGAAGAGCTGAGCCACCTGGTCTAACCTTGTAGCTGACCCTGCTTTTGAGCAGGAAGCTAGACCAGAGACCTCGTGAGGTCTCTTCCAAGCTGAACTACCCTATGATACTAAGAGTACCGCTGCATAGCAGAGAATGAGCATAACTCTGCTCTCAGCAAATATGCTTGAGTACAAATAGTGTTGTTTATTTTTGTTTTCCTACCAATTTACAGTATGCTGAAGCAGGCAAGAGACAATTAATAAATTATATCTTTTATGTAGGCAAAGCAAATGGAAAGCTAAGTTGTTTGCGTACTTCAAACATGCATTTTGCATTTTAATAGTAACTGAATATGGTGTAAGTAAAAATTAACAAAACACTTTTCATGGACCTGATGGTATTTTGATGGTATTTGAAACACTTCACACTCGAACACAAATACTAGAAACAATGAAAGTCAAAATTAGACCACACTGATCTGTATGCTTTGGAGCAAGATCAGCATCTTAAATTCAGCTTAAAGGCAGCTTCAAAAAAGAACAGAACTGCAAGAGCCGTCCCTAAATTTTGGAATCTGACCTGGCAAAACTTCTAGTGTCTTGAAATCTCGTGAAACATCTGTCTTGACCTAAAATCTTACAGGCCTTCTGGAGACATCTGTTCACAGAAGAGCTGCATTTTTAAGAGCCTGTTGTAAGAAGACAGTAAGGAACTTGCTAACCAGGGAATGTTTTCGTTTGGAAGGAAAAAAAAAGAAGTATTTTTAAAAATTGTAAGTATTTTCATAGGAACACACACCACAGTTCCAAAAGTAGCTTTACCCGGTCATTTCTGATTAAAATCAGAGAGACCCTGCCATTGCCAACAGCTCCCACCAAATGCTGGGAGCCTTTGCTTGCATTCAGGGAGACAGAGGTTCACAACCTGCCTAAGACAGATGGGGACTTTCATCTGCTTCCCACATACGTCCCAAACGTAGGCCCTAAGCATTGAACTTTTCTTGCTAGGGCAAATAAAACCTCCCCAACCCCCAGTCTTTTCAGGAGAGAAAAATAAAATCTTGTCATAATGTTGTCCTAGCTTGGAACTGAAACAATTTTTGAAACTGAAAAACCATTTGTAGGTGGGGAAAACCATTTCACACCCCACTCCAAAAATAGAGTTTAAGCTGCAATATGTGTCCACAGTCAGTGACAGAAAATCATAACTGCTAAATTTTGCCAACACAAGCATGTGAACCTAATTCAGAGCTTCTTGAACAGTAAACACCAGATGTTGATAAGAACAGTCCATCTATCTTTGCATCCCATCTCCAACAATACCTTGTTGCGAAGGCATGCTTGTAGAAGTATAAGAAATATACTATGCACGGAGTCATCTTTCTTCAGTATAACTCCTCTACTTTCAGTAATCATTTTAGAGACTTCCTGTGTTATAGAGGAAGGTAAATCCCCCAAACTGGCTGTAGCCGGGCAGAGAAAGAACATTTTTGGGGGGTTGTTTTTTTGTTGGGTTTGGGAATTTTTGTTGTTTGTGGGGAGTTTTGGGTGGGCTTTTTCAGAGAAGCAGGGGTGTGGTTTTTTGCTGGGTTTTTGGGTTAGGGTTTTTTTTGGGGGGGTGGGTTGTTTGGTTGGAGTTTTTTTTTTTCCTGTGCAGGTAGTTGGTTCGTTGTTTTTAACTGATTACACCTAGTGACATGTCTATGTCCTGATGCTTGTGGCTCGGGAGCACTCACAATTTCAACCTGATTTCTGAAAATGCTGATCTTATTGCTGGCATAAATTGAAATGAGACATGCACCCCTTCACCTCCAGTGAACAAATAATTCATAACCATGGAACTGAAATTTGTGCAAGGAGTTTGTTGTCTTCAACACACCCACATCACCTCCTTTGCAGACAAGGCCATCACAAGTGAACTGGATCACCCTAAAGATCAGCCAGCAGTCATGCAGTGAATAGCATGAAGGGCAATTGAAGTGAGTCAATATTGATTTATTGACATAACAAAACTACAGAAACGTTTATGTTACGAGTAACATAGAGACACACACTACACACATTATACAAATGAACACTTTCAAATGACACTTAAACAAACGTCTTTCAGATGGAAAAAACAACTATTTTCCACTAGGAGTGAGATTCAGACCCAGTGACCAAAAGATGAAAGACCTTTACTGGAGAACTGCCCCAAGCATGAATTTGTTCCCCAGAAAAAGTAGTCTGTCAGCAGGAAGGTGCCAACAACTTTGGAGTCAATCCCAGTAAGTAAACCCTCTTTCTAAGTGGGAAGGGGAAATCCCCAGTGCCTTCCACAGTCCAACACTCCATATCAATTGAATAAAAAAGAAAAAAATAACTTCCAAATTCAGTCTATGTATATTTTAGAGCCAAACCCAAACATAAATGCATGAGTTACTTATGATCCTAGATTAATATTAATTTTAATACAAGCCATTTCTCCCACCCTTTCCAGCCAGAAGTTTCTTCCCTTAGTTATTTGACTCATAGCTCTAAACTTTTACTTGAACTATATAAATAGCTGGTAAAAGGATTACCAACCTCATGGATCAGCTTTTAAATAGGAACAAGACACTGCCAGTGAGTTATACAACTGCTTGTGAGACAGCAGTGAACTTCTCAATATCAGACTCCTAGGATCTATTCCTGATCCTCAGAGATTAAGAGTGTGGTCTACTGGCTAGTGATAATATAGAAAGTGCAATGAATTTGGCACATTTACCCCGCAAGCACTGCTGTAAGCTGAATGAAACTTGGTTCTTCTTAAGCTTCTCCATGTTACTATGTTTATGAAATAAGAACTAATGTTAAGAGTAAGAAACTCTGTTCTACAGTGACAGTTACACAATACATAAAGGTTCTGAAATTTCTTCATGAAAGAGAATAAAGCCAAACATCATTTCGTGACCAGAAGCCCAGTGCATCTCTTCTCAGAGCACCTCCCATAACCAGGCACTGCTGGTGTCAGATATGACAGTTCCTCACAAATGATACAGCACTGGTGGATTGGTATAGTTAAAGCACATTTCTGTTCCAAATTTAGAATTTTGTCACAGTAAAGCATCTCATTCTATTTATGAACATTACAATAATGCCATTTATTATAAGCCTCACATAGCATTAAGCTGAAAGATAACACATGTGAAACCTGTTACCTGAATTGTGTCGGGCAATATACCCAAGTGCCCAAGATGCAGCTTCTTTGACTCCAGGGTCAAAATCTTCCAAGCAAATCACAAGCATTTCCAAAGCTCCACACTGAACTACTGACTGAGCTAGCTGTGGAGAATGTTTACCAACTGCTCTTAGCACAAAGGCAGCTGCTTTCTTGTAGAAACGCTATACAAATCAGAAAAAAAGAAAAAATAAAAGCTCTCACTAAGTAGTTCAAAGCATAATACAGTACAGACATGCATAAATTAGACTTTTTTAGTAGTAGCAATATCTCATACAGATCCAAATCAGGACTACCAGACATCACACAAACAATGAACTTACAGTCCTTCTTTGAGACAGTTCATGATCTAAAATCTGCAGTAAGTGCATAAACAAACAGAAAAAATGAGAGGGCTAAGAGGATATGGGGAAAAGATAATAGTCTAGATAAGTCTGTTTGTTTAAGTCAGTAGTGAATGATAAAAGCTGCAAAAACAATAGCTCTTAACATATTTAACCAGATTACACAGGTTATGCGGGGCAAGCTTCTAAAATAATTCTACCCATCTGTGACACTTGCAAGGTTTCACAATTTCTAATGTATATACCCTCACAACATCTCTATGAGAAAACTTTGTTTACCTTTACAAACAGAAAACTGAGACACAAAGGATTAGATCCAACAAAAGGGTTTAGGATTTGAATTCTGAAATGCCTAAATACTGCCTAAGCCCACAGCTAAGACCCTGAAAAGCCATCCTACCAAACACCCAACATCAGATGGCCCTCAGTTTTGACCAGACTCCTGCACGTGCCCAGAAACAGCTCTCTTTCAACAGGACTAAGCACCTTGGCACCTCTGTCGTAAGTTCAAGCAAAATACAAGCACTTAACTCACTTCTATCTATCTCCCTCAGCATTGGACCAAATGTGTTTTGAGCATATAGGTGACTATGCTGCACATGTCATGGGGCTCCATGTAGTTTCTACTAAAAGCACAGTTAAAAGTCCTCCAAAAATCACATTTTGGTCTTCTCCTGCAGTTTTGTAACTATCACTGGGATGTAGAAACTGAAGATTAAAATTATTCCCATCTTAGTTTCAAAATCCAGAGCCCAGCTAAAAGTACTCTGGCCAGCAACAACCACACTGTGAAACAGTTCGCCCACCTCATGAAGCCACTGCACAGCAATGAGTGCAAGATTGACTGTGACACAAGTAATCTGCTGCCATGCCTATGTGTTTGGAGTATGCTTTCCAGCCTGGCAGTTCACAGATCACCCCTGTGGACAGGCTGCAGAGGGCTCTCTCTCTCTGTAATAGCTGGGTTTAATCTCATTCCAAGGTGCTCAGTTCTCCCCAGCTCTGCACAGGGAGCCTGGGCGCTTGACAGTGCTAGATTCCTACTGATAAGGTACCCCAAAAGGTGAACAGTGCAAAACCCACATCCCTTTTGGAACAAGTCCAAAGAAACAAAGAATCATGTGAGTGCTTCTGTGTTTCCTGCAAGGTGCCTGAACACCTTTAAAAGACTAAAATCCAAAGCACTAAGGTATGGTAATAGAAGAACATCTGCAGTGGCTCCACAGGAAGTAAAACAGATCCAGGCCCACTCCCTGGCCCTGAAGGAAGGTGACACAACATACCACATCCACCCACCTAAATTCTTCTCTCAAAGCACAATGGTCTCATCTACACTACTGGATACGTGCTATCCCCTAAGCCACATCCAGGCTTTGTTGAGTAGTTTGATGGTTGGTGTTGGCTAAAACTTCATCAGAGAGCATGTTAACAATCTAAAGAGCCCTATCACCTTCCAGTGCTCAGACCCATGCCCCAACCCTCCTTAGTTTATCAGTACTTATATAAATGCTCAATGCCAAAAATCCAGTCTTCTAAGCTAAGGCCTACAAGCAAGTACATTAAACACCATGAACAAGCAAACAATTAAACTTCATTTAGGGGAAGTTAAGGGAAATAGTAAAAATACATTAGCTAAGGATTTGACTATTTAAGGTACCGTAAGTTTTGATGAACTCAGTTGTCCTATAGTTGTTTACACCAGTCTATGTCTGCAAATATGGGTATGTTATTTCTGTTAAGTAAATATGCTCCTGGCAAAGTAAAACACATCTTTGTTTTTATTATTTAAAACACATTTATTTACAAATGAACCATATTCACAGGCACAGACACTGTAAAACTGGATTTTGCTCAGTTTAATTGACAAAACATTGATCTGGGATGTAACCCTGTAGTTACAGTTGTTCTCCATAAATCAATAGAATCAGTATTTATAGTGTCCTCAAAGAATCTGCTCCTTAAATGTAGATGTTGATAGACGAAGAGTGAATGTAATGAAAACAGGGCTTTTTGCTTATGGGAAGTAACAAACTGCATGCATTGCTAAACTCTGTATGAACTGGATAATGAGTTTCCTTCACTTGCCCTCAGTCAGCAAGGCATAGTAGGCTTTCCATGACCTAACACTAATCTTGCTGCAGCCCCAAGTGATTCTGAATTACAGCCATCTTGATGTAAGGACAGCAGAGGCAGTAACATGGAAGACATAAATCAGGGTACTCAAGCTAATTTAGTGAGGTCTTTGAGTTGTAGCAGGGGGATAGTTTCCAAAACAACGCAAGAGTATAAGGAATTTTGTTCTTCTTCACTTCAATATAGAAATGAAACAACCAAAATGGTTATAAAGTTGTCTAACTAAAACTTTAAATTTTTTCCATACTATACCATTATCTTGACATGAAGGTTTTTCTTTAGCTTTTTTTTTTAAAGATGAATTGTGTAGACAATGACCTATATGCACAGAAAAATATGCAACAAGTACTTACATTTATGTTTTCTTCAAAAGATTAAAGATGAAAACATACAGTTTTCCAAATTATATTTCAACTGAAATCCTACTTCTCCTAAATCTAATAAATCAAAACTGCAACCTAAGTATGGCTGTGGTATTAATGCACTCAGCTGTCTCTTTCCAGTTACTAGAAACCTTATTAAAAAGTATTTCTGTTAATCTAGGTTAGGAACACTAGAAAGCTGGAATATATGCAAAACCTGAAGAAAAATGGCAGGGAAGGAGAGACACCAGCAGATTTATTTGCATTGCAATTGTGACTACACTTTTTTCTGTGTTTGTTTCTGACAAATATGAAGTTGAAAAACTTTCAGAATATTTTCCTGTGTTGGTGGATTGAAATTTCTCATGCTACAGATTTCTGAAAGGCTATGTTTGGAGATATTAAATATTTAATCACAGAAATTCTGGGGTTTACATGTATTTTACAAGTGTATCATCGACAAATCCTAGTCAATTAGCACTACAACTTTCAAACTGTCTAATTTTTTAAGAGGGACCTTTTATAAAGCATCACTCAACATTTTAAGAACATAAGAGTGCCATGAATGTATTTCTTATAGTGCACTAAAAGGTAAGACAATATTTTAAAGTCAAGCTTATTTGAAGTCAAAGCTAGGCACACAGTACACATTGATCTCTCAGGGTTCAAACATACATGGTGTCTGTGACTCCAGTACATGTATTGCTGTATTAGGATAACAGCAGATAGCTGATAGAGAAAGGCTTCCCTTCCCTTCCCCTGTGCATTAGTTAAAGATATGTGTGTGTGTATATATACATATATGTGTGTATATATATAACTTAAGAAAACAATGATGCCTTACATTCTGTTCAGACAACGAACACAGGAGCTGTGGAAGAATGCCTCCCTTCACAACTGCCTCTGCCAGGGCATCGTTATAATTGGCAAGTCTCCCAAGAGCCAAAGCAGCAGTCTGTTGAATATTTGGGATGACATCCAGCAAAAGAGGTCTCAGCAAAGTCATTACACCTGAGTTATACAAAGAAGAGAAAAGCTCATTTGATAAGCAGACATTTTTCTAAACATTTGCCTTTATTCATAAAAACCTATTGAATTACTCTTCCAGGTAATAAGAACCTGAAGGAAATCCAGGTGTTCCACTGAAATGAAGTTGGCACTTGGATAGCACTGCTGATGCAGAGCAATGTTTCTGCCCATTTTTCATAGGTACAAAACACTTATGAAATATAAAAAGTCACATGTAGAAATAAGCTACATTCAAACATCTATAAAATACAGAAGTTAAAGTATATGCAAGAAAATAAGGTATATCCAAACATACATAAAATGCGTGTCTTGAAGTATGCACAGGAAACTCCACATGGAGGTCCTGGTGAGCTGACATTGGCATGTTGCTCATTCAGCATGCCAGCAGAACCTCTATGTTAAATTACACCAAATTATATTTCATCTATTATAAACCTTATTATTACACTGATTTATTTGGGGACCAATATCCATAATATATTGTACTCCAGCTGAAGATTTTATCATGTCATTATTTATGATATGCTTTCACTATTGAGTCCACGGTGTATCAGTTAAACATGAAAGAACATGAAAGTCCATTCTCTAAGGTGGTCTTACAATACATACTTGAAATTATAGGTGGAGTGAGCAGCTGTGACATGAACCATTAGCAGTTACAGGCTAAGAAAGTCCTTACATGGATAAAAAGCTGGCTAAAAATAGGAAGTGAGAGGAGTAAACTTTCCATTCTTGCAATAGGAGGGAGGAGGTCACTGTGCAGTTCTGCAGGCCTCCCTGCTGGGACATGTGCCATTCAGTATTCATCTATGATCCGGAACAGCACGAACAGTGAGGTGAGATTTTGATGTTGACCCAAAGTTATTCAAGGTAGTATCAGTGAGGAAAACTATAAGGAACTAGAGACTGAATGACTGGATAACAAAATGGCAAGTGAAATGGAACACATACAGGAAATACAATCCTAATGTCACATATGCAGTGATGAATCCCAAACAGATCACTACCACCCAGAAGAAAGATCTTGATGTTAGAACACGCAGTTTCACAGAGGTACCAGCTCATTGCTCAGAAGCAGAGAAGAAACTTTACCTACAGAAGTATCCAGAGTACTCAGGATTACTTGGAAAAGAAAAAAGGCCAAAGCAGGGACCATCATTATGCCACTGTATAAATCTATCCTATATTTAATACCCTCCCCGGCAGTAGAACTGAAGAAGGTTCAGTGAAAGGTAACAAGGATGATCAAAGATGAATGGTCTGTATGTAGAAGCTTTTGCTACAGTTAAACTAAGCCCCTTCAATAAGAATATAACTGAGATACACCCAGTTACATAAAAAACATGATTTATAAGGCCTGGGAAGTAAAAAGTTACTTGTATTACGATTCTTAAAAAGTGCTGTCCCTGTACCAGCCAGCTGCATGAATTAATACTTCTGAGCTTTATACCTCAGCCAGAAAGCAATGCTCTCTGAAGATGCAGAAGTGCTACAACAGAACACCAAACACTCAGAGCCACAGTTAGAAATCTCCATCTGTTCTTTCTACTACATTTGTTTGCTAACAAAAATAAAGATTTTGCAGGGTAACTGTGGAAGAAAGTAACTTCCTTTCTCAAGGCCTCGCATGGTTCTGAGCACTGAACAAAGTATTTTGGTACGACAGTCTCAAAACAGTGGCATCACTGCCTGATGGCAAGTGGCACCCAAGTGTTGAACAGGGACACCATGACCAGGGAAACTAAGCGCTTTAGAGCAAGGAACAGTCCAAAGGGATGGAGGCTGTAACAAGTCACACCAGTAGCACACTTCTGTGTAGAAGGACATTGAAATGAAACAGGTAAGCTGAGCTGCAGTGTAATTCTCACAGAGAACATTTAATTTACGTTAGAAACAAACTGCTTCCAGCATGAAGAAAATAGCCTAATAATCTATACATGGCTCCAAAAGGGTGGCAGGGGGGTAAAACTAACCATGAAGGCCATGCCAATCACTAATGAATTTGTTCTGGGAAGGTCAATACTCCAGACAGAAGCTGAACTGCCATGAGAGGTATGACCATGCTGGACGTTCACAGTTCAAAATAACACAGACCTCAGGAGGGCATGAAGTAAAAGGAGAAAAGCAAAATGAAGCTGTGATTTCTAATAGCATTACAGAAACACCAAAAGTGGCTCTGAACATGCATTAATTGAGCATGTACATGTAGAACCTATGGAAATAGGTCTGTAGTGCTGCTGGCGCCTGCTCACACTTCTGTCAAAGCCACTGGGAGCTGAAAGAGACCTCCTATGTACCAAGACAAAAGCTTGATCCTCCAGTATTGTAACGATCAATGTGAATTCATTTCACACTTTGCAGAAATCACTACTCCAGAATGTGGTCATCATACCAACATCTTCTCACAAGCCCTCCCAAACAGCAGGTATGGTCTCATTAGCAGGTTATGCTTCATATCAAAATGCACCAAGTACTTTATACGACAAATTAAAACAAATGTGAGGTGGGGCCAAGCCCACATATCACCTATAGTGAGCTATTGTCCAGCAAGTCACCTGAACCCTGTATGGGAGGGCATTTTCTTGTCCTTCCCTCTAACATCAGTTGCATGGTCAATCAACTGCTGAAATTCCTAAGGAGACCTCATACTGTTCTGATGCTATTTACACTGAAGGTATTTCAGTAGAGCAGAAACAGTTAGAAATAGTACACTTGTATTTAGTGTACAGATAATACAAAAACAAAATTATTTAATAAATAAAAAAGGGGGTGAGGAGGTAAAAAAATAGTTTTACTGATATAAAATAGACTGTTAGAAGTGGTTGGAGGAGAGCAATAGAAGCACTTTAGCATGCAGTGCCCTAACCCTAGAAAAGCCAACAGGCCGATGGGTGAGACATTCAACTACAATGTGGCAGACGTTTGAGTTCTGGTGATGGTCTCAAACTGCAGCGACATTTAAACTGACTAGAATCACTTTACCCGGGAGGAACCCATGAGCTAGATCCAGACCACATGACAAGTTTCTGGCCTGCATGACATACCTAGACACCGCAGAAATGTAAAACCACATTTAAGAAAGCTTACACACACATATGTTTTGAGTTGTCCTAAATACAAGATTTATATAATATGCGTTTTCAAGATTAGCTGATACAGATTTCACTTTCAGAATAAGCTAAAAAGCCTTGAGCCTGAAAATGCTTCTAAGCAGCAAGCCTCCCCATGACCAATACCACTCATTTCATGGTAATATAAACCATGTAGAGCTTGGTGATGACATTTAAGTGCCAGCACAAAACATGCTATTGCTAATTATTTTAGCTGATGAAACTGAAGGTGAGGAAAGAGATGAAAAATGAAATAGTAGTTACTGTTTGGAGAAAAGACACAAGATGCTAAAAACAGGGTTAAAAAAACCCCTAACCAGTAAATGGATGGAAAAGGTTTAGAAATAATAGAAACTGTGCAGATCCTTAAGGAGACTATATTTTCTTATAGTGATGCCTGAATGTGAGAAAAGATAGTAAATAAATAGTTATCATGACAACAGCTTTGGAGTAACAAAAAAAAAACCCAAGAAAAAAACAAAACTCAATTCCTGTTACTATACAAGCCTTATAGAGACATCAGATTAACCAAGAATTGAGAGATGTGTATAGGCCTAGATTACGCTTGTGCATTGAATATAATTAAAAGCTTCTACCTCAGCTTCCCACCTTCCCTAAAACCAGTTTCTTTCTCTGCATTGAGATGCTATCCATTACCTGACTTCTCTGCAAGACCAACTGCCTGAGTTTTCACCATTATCATGATTTTTTCATCTTCAGCAAACTTAGTATTTCTTTCTTTACAGCACTTAGAAAAAAACAAACAATTCTGAGAATGTGAAAACAGCTACCCTAGAGACTATATGGTCTCCACTAAAACACCTATACGAAAAACAAGATGTTCACTCTTCCTTCTGTCACTTTTGAAGATAGTGCTGGAAAGGACAGACATGCCTGACACAGGAGGAGGCTTTCCTGTCCTGGGCCCGACCCAGCTCTTTCTCCCAGACACAGCTGGTTTTGGTGAGCTGCTCTATTTGATCTTTTCCTTTCTTTTGACTATCCTGTCTGCAGCAAAGTCTAACCCCCTTTTCCAAAGAAGTCCAAGCCAAGATTCCTATTGGCATTTTCAGTTAAATTCAAATACATTTAACATTGTCTTAGAGCAGGAAAATAGGTAAGAACCTTCCAACAACTTCCTTTTACTTCCACCATTCTCTCAAGTGAACAGGGCCATACAGAGCAGGGAGTAGCAGTGTCTTGATGCTGAAACCTTTAGGAGAACTCTTTGGCCTTCTTCTGAATAAGTCTGTTGTGATAGAAGTAAGAAGTTCATTAACTAATTCAAAGGCAACAACACAGAAACTAAACTACAAAATAAGGCACTTACACCACTGGACTAGATTTGTTTTGGAAGAGTTCCCACTAGCAACTCAGAGTAAGAAAGAATTACTGCCAAATACCCTCTTGCATCACAGAAACTTGACTGACCTTGGGCAAGGAATGATTCCACTTTCCATCCTCAGTTTCCCACCCAGATTTATTTCAAAGAAAGACACACTTTAGGAGCTGAATCACCCTTAACACACACTTCTGAAGTGGAACTGCTGTGCACAGGCCTCATGCACTTCTTTTTAGCAAGCAAGTGCTGGCTGCTGCCTATCTGGAAAAAAATCCACTCGAGGCAGTGGCAGGCTCCAACTTTTTTCATTCCAAGTTCCAGTAGCCAAACAAAGAGTCACTATTCTGGAGATAGCCATCTTCATTGGTCATTTTGATTTCTTAGGGAAAACCACCTGGAAGTCACACAGAATCACTCTATCCTCCTCCTCTTACTCTTGCCAAACCCTTGTCAAACATGAATAGTCACCAGTCAGAGAAATGTCACTCTACATCTGAAATTCTCTCCATGTCTGAACCTGAAGACGACCA